TGCATCCCAAGAACACCATACCTACTGTGAAGCATGGGGGTGGAAACATCATGCTATGGGGCTGTTTTTCTGCCAAGGGGACAGGACGACTGATCCGTGTTAAGGACAGAATGAATGGGGCCATGTATCGTGAGATTTTGAGCCAAAACCTCCTTCCATCAGTGAGAACTTTGAAGATGAAACGAGGCTGGGTCTTCCAACATGACAATGATCCAAAACACACCGCCCGGGCAACAAAGGAGTGGCTCCGTAAGAAGCATTTGAAAGTCCTGGAGTGGCCTAGCCAGTCTCCAGACCTCAACCCCATAGAAAATCTGTGGCGGGAGTTGAAAGTCCGTGTTGCTCGGCGACAGCCCCAAAACATCACTGCTCTCGAGAAGATCTGCATGGAGGAATGGGCCAAAATACCAGCTACTGTGTGTGCAAACCTGGTAAAGACCTATAGTAAACGTTTGACCTCTGTTATTGCCAACAAAGGTTATGTTACAAAGTACTGAGTTGTATTTTTGTTATTGACCAAATACTTATTTTCCACCCTGATTTACGAATAAATTCTTTACAAATCCTACCATGTGGATTCATGGATTTTTTTTTTTTCACATTCTGTCTCTCACAGTTGAAGTGTACCTCTGGTGCAAATTACTGACCTCTGTCATCATTTTAAGTGGGGGAACTTGCACAATCGGTGGCTGACTAAATACTTTTTTGCCCTACTGTATAAAATGAAATAAATGAATGAAGCAAAAACATCAACAAGAAGAGTCTACTGTGCTCCTCTTGGGAAAGCAAACATGTTTGGCACAACAAAGCATTCGGACCATTATTCTGCTTGCTTCTGAGCAAGACAGGTTTAAAAAAAGAAAAAAAAACAAGGGTAGCTAGGAATAATAAAATAATAAATGGGAAACCTGGGCGAGATGAAGACAAACGTTTAGAGATGCTGACAAGAACACAGGCTCCTGGTTTGATGCTAGCATCTCTCAGATGACTCTTGGATCACTGACAAAAATAAGCATGAATAAACTCATATTTAAAAAAACAAGTTGTTCCTGTATTATGGTTTCTACGGAAACTGCGAAAAACAACAGCTACAACAGGAATCAAAAATTGCACATTTATTTAGTACAGCAGCATGCATAAGACTCTCTAGTCCAATCATCATATAAATCTCTGGGAGTAAGGTGTGATGTGGCTGACTGGCACACACAAGGTCACACACACAACAAAAAAAACCCCAAAACTTTTTTTAAAAAGTGAGAGGCAAGTTGGCGCAATAGTCCAGCTGACTACCTTCACTTTCTGCTGTCATGCAAAAGCGCTACTGGCTGAAACTGAACACGGGTTACCTCATGTAAAGAGGCTACATTTGTGTGTATAGTCGTTTCGCCTGATCTAGAATTAAGCTGCATATCTGAGCCCTAGTCTTTTAAATGTCCCAATTCCTAATTAATGTAGCAGAGAAGTAGGTAGACGTTTCACAGCTTGCCGAGAGAGGGTGCATGCGCAGACGTTTTATGTTGGAGACTCGGAGAGGTCCGTCAGTAACGTGATTCCCGGAACGGTGCTCCTCACGGACAGTCAGTTTACTTTACTGTTTAGACCTTACCGGTGTAAAGTATTTACTAAAACGCGCACGAAAGAGTTTACGTGTAAATACGCGCGTCACTTCAGTCGTTAGATAATCAGTCCATTTTAATGCTGTTAGGTTGCTCATTTAGTGGAGTCCTACGGTAAAATACATTAAAACAGCAGAATATTTTACATTACAGTTTAAAAACCCTACGCAGATCTAATTAAAAAGTTAATCCACGCACACACAGGCGGGCTCTCGATCAGCGCCCTCACCCTGCAGCCAGTCAGAAATAAGGTAAACGAAAACAAATGCAGCGAAAAATTCAAATCGCAAAAATTGTTACAAGCGTGATACCGGAATTACAGATATTTTTAAGAACACGTGAGTGTTGGTTTTTATGAGCAGCGACTTTATGAGCAGTTACTTGCTCTTCCCAGCTGAAAATTCCTGCGCGCTCCCAGAGACACCGCCGTATGCTCATTTGGAATTAATCAAAGGGATGTGCTTCTTTATGCCACTAGCAAATGTGGGGCGATCGTGGCTCAAGAGTTGGGAGTTCGCCTTGTAATCGGAAGGTTGCCGGTTCGAGCCCCGGCTCGGACAGTCTCGGTCGTTGTGTCCTTGGGCAAGACACTTCACCCGTTGCTTACTGGTGGTGGTCAGAGGTCCCGGTGGCGCCAGTGTTCGGCAGCCTCGCCTCTGTCAGTGCGCCCCAGGGTGGCTGTGGCTACAATGTAGCTGCCATCACCAGTGTGTGAATGTGTGGATGACAGGTTGTGTAAAGCGCTTTGGGGTCCTTAGGGACTAGAAAAGCGCTATACAAATACAGACCATTTAGTAAAAAGACAGCATACTGTCAGTGTGGAGGATGGAAATTAGCTGGGACAATTCATGAAACGTGCTGACATCTGGTTATATTCAGGAGTGTGGTTCTTAACACAACCTGTCGACAAAACAATGTCAAATAACACAGACTTATGATCTGAAAACACTGCATCTAAAATCATCAAGTTTAAAACAAGCAGGCTATAGGATGAGACAAGGTTCACTGTATGCCCACATGCATGTGCAGGCCCAGCCACCCACTGTGTGAGATTAAGCTAAGGCTTTTTAAAAAGTCATATAAGAAGTCCTTATTGTATTTAGGTGGACAGTAAATCACAACACATAACACTGGGTTAGAGCAGTCCTGCTCAAATAAGGTCAATTAAACACTGGAGGAAAATGAGGGAGAAAGCTGCTTACAGTCGTATATACTCCAAAAAACAATTTCTATTCCCCCACCTTGGCCTGAAGTCTGGGGAGAATTAAATTAAGCACAGTTAGGCAGTGCCCAGTAGTATTCACTTGTCTGTAGTCATACACAAATAACCTTAAGTAACATTCCAATCTTAATCCATAGGGTTTAATATGGTGTTGACCCACACTTTGCTAATATAACAGCATCAGCTCTTATATTCAGGCAAGAAGACCTGGCTTACTCTATTTCATCCCAAAGGTGTCCTATGAGATTGAGGTCAGGATTCTGCGTAGGCCCGTCAAGTTCTTCCACACCAAACATGCTCATCCATGTTTTTATGGAACTTGCTTTGTGCAGTGGGGTGGAGTTACGTTGGAATAGGTGTGAATAGACTGCACAATAGACTGGAGGGTGTTCGCTCTGTGTTGTAGCGTCCTGATGACACCCAGTTTGTGCTCCAGTGGATGATGAGAGTCAAACCTTAAATACTGTTCTGAATATGTTGGTTTACAGTACACATAAACTCTTACATGTCCCCCGTTACTGATAGAAATCTCAGAGTCTAAGAAGGCTAACATGTCATTTTTCATATCCTTCCTAGTGAAGTTGATGTGTTGGTCCACCGAATTAATGTTATCTGTGAATTTTTACCCAGGTGTCATCCACATACCTGAACCAATGACTTGATGGTGTTCCAGGGTAGGATAACAAAGCCCTCTTTTCCACTTCTTCCATGTACAAGTTGGCCACAATAGGTGAAACCGAGGAACCCATGGCACACCCATGTTTCTGCCTGTAGTACTGACCCTTGTATGTGACATTGGAGGGATTCGGACACAGTTCCAAGAGCAAACACACTTGGTTGGTGCTGAAGGTGGTCGTGTTTCTGTAATCTCTTACAAACTACCTCCACTGCTTCAGTGACTGGAACACAAGTGAACAGACATGTAACATCATACAAGACCAATATTTCATCTGCCTCCATAATGATTTCACTTCCCTTCTCAACAAAATCCAAGGTGTTCTGGTTGTGGTGTTTAGAGCTGCCTGCCAGCAGGTTGAAGATCCAAGACAGAAACTTGGGTGACCAAGTTGATCACGAAGACAATTTGTCTTAAAGGTACACCCTGTTTATGTATCTTCGGTAAACCATATAGACTTGGTGTAGCTTCCCCTGGGTATAGCCTGTGGTATGAGGTCTGGTCCATAGTATTGTCTTCGTCTAACTGCTATCACCTTCTTCAAGTTCTCATATTTTGGCTAAAAATTTTTCTGCTAATTATTGTTGCCCCATAACTGACTAGACCTAGATTCTAGTACAGATGAAGAAGTGGCGTTTTGATTGTGCCTTGTTATTGTTGCACATTTAATAAATAAATGTTTCTTCTTAGTAAGATTTTATTATCTAAAATTTGTAATTCTATATAATAAATTTTATATAATATATTCTTAAAATAGTTTGTAAGAAATTATTATATAATTTTGCTGACAAAAGCAAAGCTGTCATGGGACTCTGCAGGCCGGTCAAAAACGACACCCTTACTACTTCCATAGGAATGCAAGGTAAGTAACGGCCAGGTGCTGATAATCCAGTGCACTTGATTAACTGATTATCAGCATGTCTGGCCACGTGTATAGAAGCAGAGGATTTGGCAGTTTGGGCTGGTCTGCAGTATTCAGGTGTATATTAACACAATGTCGCAATCTTCCTAGGAGTGGATGTTCTAGCAAATTTGTTTGGGTGTTGTTTTGTGCTTGTTTTGCATCCACAGCATTCAGCATTCATTCTTGCAATCACTGAATCGACCATGAACTTTTTTGTATACCAAAGTTAGTCTGACACCTAAATCCACCGAAACTTGGTCTTGCAGCAGGACAATAATCCAAAGCACAGTTTGGCTGGAAAAAAAAAGAATCAAGGCCCAGTTCAGAACTCAGGGGACTGAAATGCTGTTGAGTGCTGCAATATCTGCATAACTGCAAGATATTGCTGGTAAGGAGGATTTCACAATGGGTGTACTTAACCTTTGTTTTATTTCAATAATGTGTAAAGAGCAATAGTTTCCACACACATTAAATATGTGTGAAGGAAGTAAAACTGGTGCGCATATGACATTGACTTTTTATATGTTCAGTATAAAAACTCAACGTCTTCATCTGTACAACAGTCTAGATCAGATCATAGACTGTACTAACCAAAGCCTGCGGTCAACTGTCAAAGTAAGACCACCAAGTCCTTTGTTTCTTTAAGAATGATTACATGCAGGGTTAACAAGTTTAATAGCCTTTTATCTATAAATTGTTGTTTGCATGCCCACACTTTATGAACGTGGAGAAATTCGATTTTTTTTTTAAAGATATCTTAGCAGCATTTGTTTTCTGGAATTTTTTTAGGACAGTAAAGTCTGTCTAAATGTTTTCAAAGTGTACTCAACTTCTCACCAGATTAAGAAAAGCAAGCAATTTTTGTCTTTTTTTCCTTTTATATTACATTGTTTTGCAGTGGTCTACTTTAACATTTCTCTTCGTCTCTTTTTGTATCTTTACTGTGCTAAATAAGAACTGGTACTTCACTTTAGTATGCACAGGTACAATAGAAAATCACAGTAAACACAACTTTACCACTGTTTGGTTTAATTTAAAAAGCTGCCAGGGTAGAGTGAGGTAGGTACTGAGGCAGGATATAGGTTGACCACTCATACTCATACCACTACATAGACACAAAAGTTTAACTGTGTGATTTCTGGTTTCACATACATCTCCACTGAGAAATGACAAATTATTTGGGGGTGAAGTGAACATTTGAAAAATACTCTATTATATTGGTCATTTTTTTATATTTAAAGTTTAATCATCATTTAATCTCTTCTCATTGTTCCATTCAGATGGCAAAGCTGTGGCACGTCCTGCTCCTGTGTTGGGCATGGAGTCCCTTGTGCCTTCCATCCAGTGTGAGCTTCATTGGTACACCACAGGAGTGTGAAAAGGCTCACTTTGTCCCTGGTTACAACTTGGGTGGTGAAGGCTTTGACATTGTGACGATGGAGAGAAAAGGTGCCTATGTGATCGACACTGAAACATGGAAGATTGGAAATGGTAGCTGTAGGATGTACTGTAACCGTTACATGAATGGCGAGAAACAGAAGGTCCCTGTTGCTGTGGTGGACTGGAGAACCCTGCCCAAGTGCAGTTTGAAGGTCTCCAGTGTGGTCTATGATTCTGTTGAAACTCTTGTCAATGACTCGACATCATCTGTATCCAACAACTGGAAAATTGGCCTTGACATCCCGGTAGATCCTTCAGTAACAGTTGGGGTTGGCTTTGGAGGTTCTCACTCAAGAGATTCCACCTTTGCTATGAAAAAGTCAAAACAAGACCGCTACACCTTCTTACACCATTCGATCAACTGTCATTACTATAGGTGAGTATGTCAGGGGATATTTATGGAAGCCCGTTTCCGAAACTCGAAATTTTGAGAAATGTAACTCGAAATTTCGAGTTAGCTCTGCCAATCAGTAATCTACGTGGAATGCGCACTCAAAACTGGATCGCAACAAATCGGCGCTTTCGAGAGTATGTTTGCTGATAGTAACACCATGTGATTCAGCTAATAACACAAGGATTTCATATTTTGTGAAGCCACACTGAAAATAATCAGCAATTTGTGCATTCAGGACTGACTGTAATAGTGGTAGCTTAGCTGTAGCATTTGTAGCTGAGGGCTTCAGCTAACAAAGAAATGACGTAATTCACATAGATTACTGATTGGCAGTGCTAGCTCAAAATTTGGAGTTAATAACTCCAAATTTTGAGAAAAGTAAGTCAAAATTTCGAGCTACTTTTATTCTAAATTTCGATAAAATAACTCTAAATTTTGTGTTATGGATACATTTTTTTAGTGACAGAAATGCACTTTTTTTTATAATAACAAATTTTATTTCATTTGAATTTATGTGACGTCAAACAGATTTTCAATTATGTGTCACATATAGCCTATTTTAATTTTAAGTATGTAAAACATTACAGAAAAAAACGTCAGTGTAAAAAAGCCCTATCATATATAGAAAATGTTCACAGTTATTGAAGCACATCGTTAAGTTTGAGTTTTCCTTGTTTCTGTGTTTGGATTAATTATTGTTCCTCAATATGGCTGGCAATGGTTAATGTATTTGGCAGATATAATGTAAAACGGATGACGAACATCTAGTTGACATGAACTCAATATGCAAACTTATTATAATGATTTTTAAGACAATGCTCCCTGGTGCAATATACTGTGAAAAGCTAAAAATGATGCCCTCCTGCTCCCAGTCTGTATACTTTGCTAAGCCATCCACTGGATCAGATTGGCCAGTGAGTCATATGTTTGACAACACTGTTTCTTAATAGTTTGCTGCCATTTCCTCTGCGATTAATAAAGTATTATGATTTGACTTAAAGGAAACAAAATCTAAGGTGATTCACTTTTCTGTGATATGCTTTTCTGTTCCACAGCTACAGACTGGCAACAAGTCCTCCTTTGAGTCAGGAATTCAAGCCGGCAGTTGACTCCATTCCCCCTTATTCCTCTAAAACTGCGCCATTATATCACAATCTGATTGACACTTATGGAACACATTACATCACACAAGTGTCTCTTGGAGGTGAAATTAAAGCAACCACTGCTGTCAGGACCTGCATGGCTACAATGAATGGACTAACAGATACTGATGTTAGTGACTGTTTGTCAGTTGAAGCTTCAGCTACTTTTGCAAATTCTGCCCGTATTAATGCCACAATTGAACACTGTCAGAGAAAGAAAAAGATGTTAGGGTCTAATCAAAGTTTCAGCAGTTCATTTAATGAGCGGCACACAGAAGCCATTGGTGGAGATATTGATGGAGGTGATATCCTCTTTGTAGGTCAATCTGACCCCTCGGTCTATAAAAACTGGCTCATTTCTCTTAAAAGTATCCCTGATGTGGTCCAATACAACTTAAAACCCCTACACACCATACTGCCATTAAATCATCCTGCCAGGGCAGGACTGAAGCAACAAGTGGAGCAGTACATTAAGAAAAATGCAGTGCTGAAGAAATGTTCAGAAACCTGTAAGATTGGGCACCGATCAAACGCAAGAGATCCTTGTGCTTGTGGCTGCAACAGTAACCAGAACATCAAGTCAAACTGCTGTCCTGCTGGGAAAGGTCTGGCAACCTTAAAGGTGTTCAAACTTTATGCAAAGGGTCTGTATGGTGACAAGTGGACTGAGACAGATGGTTCAGTGGAGGTGACATATGGTGATCAGAAAAAGCGCACTGATATTATAAGTAATGATGACAACCCTAGATGGAGAGAAACATTTGAGTTTGGAACCATCACCATCAACATGAAAAACAAACTTAAATTTGCTGTGTATGATGAGGACACTTACTGGAACAGTGATCTGTTAGGCGAGTGTTCATTTGATCTGCGAGCAGGGAAGGTGAGCGACAGCTGCATGCTGAATCATGGGACCTTCTTCTTTTCCTACATCGTAGAGTGTGCACCAAGTCTTAGTGGGAACCAGTGTCAGGAGTATATCCCCTCGGCCATGAGTCCGTCTTTGGCTGAGGTTTTCCACACCAGAAATGGGGTTCTTCTTGGAAAGATTGGGAATAAGTATGAGGAGCCAGCCAATGAGAGACTTTAAAGCCACATGTTGTTGTTAGGAAAGAAGCCGGTATGGATTTGACGACATGCTGAATATCTATGTGCTTGTATTTCATGGCATTCTGTCTTTGACTTTTATATGCAAAAATATTTTTTTGAACTCAGAACTGTAATGCACTTCCTATGCTTCTTTTTCCATATTGTTTCAACTATCTAGCAATAAAGCATCAGCAAAGACAACGCCTGTGTTTCTTTTAAGTATTCAAAAAAATATTGCGTTATTTTTTTGGTTTTGATATAACACGGCAATGAAGGGTGTTCTATCCATTTTTTGCATAGAGAGTGCAAAAGTGTGTTATCTATATAAAAAGATTAGAATACTGAATTGAATCTAACATTCACCTTAAACACAAGTAAATGTTTCTGCCAGAAGCAGAAACATCCAATTTAGCATCTTATCGAAACAACCCATCATTAACTCTAATACTAGGAGACTCATAGATAACCTCGTGGCCATCAGGAGTTTAAACAGAAACAGTAATGAATCTACAAGGGTTTCACCAGTTTGGAATTATTAAAGTTTCAAAGGAAAGGACTATGAAGTATTTTTTTCTTATACTTTATCTCCTGTTGGGAAATTATTCTCAGCATTTAACCCATTCACTCAGGGAAGCAGTGGGCAGCCACCAATTCAGCACCAGAGGAGATGTGTGTAGGGAGGGTAAATGACTCAGTGGTACCTCAGGTTAGCCGTTCGGTGGATTTGAACCCTCAATCTTCCAATCATGGGGCAAATGCTCTACCTACTGAGCTATTGACATAGATGAAACAAAGACATAAAGTAATCATGTATTAAAAATATACAAAATTTCATAGTGGTATTTAAACTAAATGTACATGATAATTAGAATGATCAAAAATGTGTCACAGAATTAGTGAATTCCAATATAAAGACAAACAAAGACATCCAAACAACCTCCCTGAGCGAGATCGTTTTCACATAAAAATAAAACTAATGGACTTACATACTTTTTATTGCAAGTTTATATTGGTGACTGTTTATTCAGTTTCTTCTTTAAAAAAAAATAAAAAATCCTGACCTTTGGGTCAGGAATTAAAATGCCGGTAGAGGAGACAATTTTATGTTTGGTCCATTGGGCTTGGACATCTTTTAATTGTCTGGCAAGTAATTTATGGGGTTTATCTCCTAATTCAAAGTTAAGAATATCGCTTTTGACTTGGATCCCAAATCTGATTGTATTGAAGTTTTAGTTTTAGAATAGAATTAGAGATATCCTCAGTATTAGTTTGGAGAAGTGACTCCTTTAATGTTGATAATTCTGACTCGATTTGGGACAGACGAGTTAATCTCGATCTACGAGCAGGGAAGTTGAGTGACAGCTGCATGCTGAATCATGGAACTTTCTTCTTTTCCTACATTTTAGCGTGTGCACCAAGTCTTAGTGATAACCAGTGTCAAGAGCAGACATGGGCAGTAACGTGTTACAAGTAACACATTACTGTAATCCAATTACTTTTTTCAAGTAACAAGTAAAGTAAGAGATTACTATTGCAATAAAGTAATTAGATTACTACTACTAGAGAGTATGACCATGTAGCGTTTAATGTGTGGAAGTACTGACCTTACTTTGAGCCTGATTCCGTAAAAAGTGACAAAAACATTAGCATCCTGTACACTCTACTTGGGAGGAAAACTTCTTTCTACACAGAAAAATTTAACTGCAAATGTGAGCAAACACATAGCACGCTGCCACGAGAATGTGAAATTCCCCGAGAAACCCCCGGATCCCCCCCCGGGCAAATCTCCGACTGCTCCACTTCTTCTAAACAGGTGAAAATAGATTTAAGAACAACAGGACTTAGTGCCGCCGACTCTTTGATTTTATCTATTTTTTGCTGTGTTTTACTTGCATCTATTTGAAAGAGTGAGTGTAAACATAAAAAAATATTTTATTTTAAATAGGTTTAAATGTTAAATAAATTTCTTCAAGTCAAAGACTATCCATCCATCCATCTTCTTCCGCTAATCTGGGGTCAGGTTGTGGGGACCAGCAGCCTAAGTAGAGAAGCCCAGACCTCCCTCTGCCCAGACACCTCCTCCAGCTTGTACGGGGGAACACCAAGGCATTCCCAGGCAAGCCAAGAGATAAAATCTCTCCAGTGTGTCCTGGGCCTACCCCGGGGCCTCCTCCTGGTGGGACATGCCCAGAACACCTCACCCAGGAGGTGCCCAGGAGGTATCCTATTCCAGCTGAGGAACATGGCCTCCAATTTGGAGGTGCTGATTCTTGTTCCCACCGCTTCACACTCGACTGCACTCGACTTCATCGGGTGAAGCCATCACCCGATGAAGCCAACAGAGGCACATCATCCACGAAAAGCAGAGATGAGATTCTGAGACCACCCAAGTGAAAGCCTTCCGCCACTTGGCTATGCCTAAAAATCCTGTCCATAAAGGAAACCCGAGGGACACGATCGAATGCTTTCTCCTGTACACCGTACACTGGTTGGGCAAAACTCCCATGAAACTCAATTATCTTTCAGAGGATAAAGAGCTGATAAAGTTTTGACTCAACAGTTTCAGTATTAACAGAGAAGATAGGGCGTTCCCTTGAGATGACTGTCATGGGCCTTTTTACTTTTAACTCTGAATGCTATTAGCACTTCATTGCAATAATGTATACTATGTATACTTTATTAATCCCCATAGGGAAATTAGTCATCTGCATTTAACCCATTCACTCAGTGAAGCAATGGGCATCCACCAGTCCAGCGCCCGGGGAGCAGTGTGTAGGGACGGTACCTTGCTCGGGGTACCTCAGGGTAGCCGTTCAGTGGATTCGAACCCCTGACCTTCCGATCATAGGGTGACCACTGCCCTGGATGATATACTCTGAATGACTACATACTTACTGCTAAATAGTGTCATATGCAAATCATCAATAGGGATTTGCTGGAGAATCTCATGCTCAAAGCACTGATAGATGTAAATTTGAAAAGTCCTTTTTCTATTATCAAGACTCAAACCAGTGCGGTGTTAACAGTAGAAAAGAAAGCAGACTTCATTCACTTTTATTGCCTACTCAATAAAAATAACAATGATTCTGTACACTTAACAGCAAAAATGTATGCAAAGTGAAGTGAAATAAATTTACAGAGGAAGTGGTACGAACCTTTAAAAGAGTGACACATTTATTTAAATGTGAGCTGTTTTATATAGTGCACAGCTGAAATTCAGTTCAATTTAATTTTATTTATATAGTGCTAAATCATAACAGCTGCCTCAAAGCAAAACACATGCACAACGGCCTTACAGACAAGAACGCATTAGTCTGGAATCAGAATCAGAAAGAATGTCAGGTTACTGAAGGTTGCTTCCTTATCAGGAACTGGTTTCAGCAGTTTTATTGTAGAAGGACATATAGTTAAAACCTTAATATGCAACATAAAGAATAAATATAAATAAAATAATGTTTTTAATATCGTCACACATAAAAGCATTTTATTAGAAAACTGATAAGATCTCCTGCAAAATGAAGCTTCCTCATTCAAGTAAATGAGTCAGGCATGAGTCTCAGTGTGAAGTACTTAAACATGTGAGAGATAAACTAAAACAGACAGTTTGGTTAATGTGGTGTGAGAGCAAGGAGTCGTGGTCACTGAATCATGTTACAAGTATGTGTGCTAAGTTTTCTATGTGCCGCAATGAGCTACTTCTGCTTTTTATTTTTTACTGTTCAGTTACCTTTCAGTGTTTACTGGTTTCAGTATTAGTTTTAGTTTTTATTATTTTTATTAAGTTTTATAATATAGTGAGCATTTGTCTGGTGCAAAAAAGTGATTACCGGCAACACATTGGGATATCTACAAGATGACAGCCTTTACAATCAGAATTTGCACCAAACTGACCACAATTAAAACTAAGAACATTTCTTGTCTGTTTTATTCCTGTTATTTATATATTTATCAAGTTTAATGAGTAAATTTAATGAGAAACACACAGAGGTCATTAGTGGAGACAATAATGGAGCTGATATCCAATTAGAATCATCTCTATTCAAAAATGGGCTCAGTTCATTTAAACCCACAACTGGTGTGGTCTGATACATCTCAAAGTCCCTGCACACTACAGCACATTAAGAAATATGTAAGATTGGATGTAGATAAAAATTTAAGAGATCCTTGTGCTTGTGTCTGCAACAGAAGGTGCAGGTGACATATGGTGATCAGAAAAAAACAAACTAAACCAAAACAATGGTCCTTAAGGCCCAGCCAGCTTTAAGACACACTTGTATTTAGTATTTACAGATTCTGCCTGTTCGCCATTTATAATGAGAGGGCAATGCACCTGTCTGTGCCTCCTGAGCACCAGTGGGACAAGATCTCTACCTTGGCCCTGTACGCTGTCTCATCACCATCATGACCCCAACCATGGTGACTGAGGCCACGAGGAAATCTTTGATCCAGATGCAGGTGTCAGGGAGGGATTTGAAGGTGGCGAAGATGTCTGAGATCATGGTGTTGAATGCTGAGCTGTAGTCCACGAAGAGAATCGCCACATTGCTCTTCCTGTTCTCCAGATGGGTCAGTGCTCCGTGAAGGGAGACGGTGATGGCATCCTCTGTGGACTAATTTGCTCTGTAAGCAAACTGGTGGTGGTCAAGGGAGCGGGGTAGACAATGTCTGATGTGCTGAGAGACTATCCGCTCGAAACACTTAATGACTACAGATATGAGGGCTATAGGTGAGTAGTCACTGAGGCTGTCTGTACCAGTCTTTTGGGGGACGGGAATGATGGTGGAGGCCTTCAGACAGGTGGGAACGATGGCACGAGTCACTCTCAGTCTCCACCTCCTTGCTATAGACGTGTGCTTCAAGGGGACTTCCACTGATTTATTAGCATCAGTTTCTTCTGCAATCACCACTTTTTGCTCATAATGTGTGTATATGAGACTACTTCATGTCATTAGCTTGTATCTAAACTTTGCCATAGTTTGTGGGATTTTTTTTTAATTCTTT